CCGTCGTTAGCTGCGGCACACTGACCCCAAGGGCTGGCGGGAGCTGAGGGCTTGAGGGCTGCAGCAGCGTGTGCAGATCAAGGGGAGAGGCAGGACGAGGGGAGCAGTGTCCATCCCCCATCACCTCTCTGGCAGCTCCGAGCTGAAGGGCGTGGGCTGAGCATCTCTGTAGCGGGAGGAGCTGGAGACAGCTGGGCCTGGGGATGATTACTCCTGACAAGGACCAGATGTGTCAGGAGGAGGTTTGCTGGGTGGCACGGCTGGGCAATAACAAGAGGAGTTTTGTCACGGGTCCTCTCTGGGTTTTAAAAGCAACACCTTGTCTTCCTCTTCTACCTTCCTTCCTCCCCCACCCTTTCCGCTGCACACTCTTCACACCCCCAAAACCTATTTTGGGCCGTCTGATGAATCCCAGATGCCTCAGGGAAGCAACAGAAGCGACGGGTGCGCTCCAGGCGCTGCTTCACGCCGCTTCCTTGGCGATGCCCCCAAGCTTTTGCAAGCCAAGGGAGCAGAGGAAGGAAGGGAGGAGGGCAAGGGAAAGCAGGATAACAAAGTGGTAAATGAGCCTGATCCTCGATATTGCAATTATTTGTGGAGTGGTGAGCAGGGAAGAGGATTCCACCTGGTCCTGGAGGGAGGTAGCAGTGGTTGGGAAGAGGGGTGGGATGGGTTCATGTGGTTTGGGATGGTGCTTGGGGAGGGGCTTAGGGCAGCCTGGGAGAGGGGAAGAGGCAGCTGGCTGATGTGGTTCTCTCCCACGAGGCAGCTGGCTGATGTGGTTCTCTCCCACGTAAATCGGGTGGAAGGGGGTGGGTGACGTGACTCGGGGGTGTCGGAGAGCTACCGGCTGCACTGCTGGCATCGCTGGCTGCAGCTCTGCTCTCTGTCACCTCGTGCCCTTCAAACCGTCCCGGGGGAGCTCAGCACAGCAGCTGCAGCCGCAGCTTCATTTGCTCCCCCTGCATTTTCCTGGGGTTGATTTAATCCTGCAGAAAAGAGGGTTCTCAGGCTCTCGGGGCTGAGATCTTGCTGGAGACACTGGTGGGGCTGATTTGTGAAAGTCGTGGGGAGATTATTTTGGGTGGCAATGCAGGAGTAAAGCCCATGGGTCTAGGAAGCTGCTGTGAGACTGGGGAAGAGGGGCAGGGAGAGGCTGGCGAAGATAAAAGGAGGATTTCATGCTCATCTCAGCTCGCTGAGACAGGACGTGGTATTCTGATATACGTGGGCACATATATAGCATCTGGCATGTCTGGGTGGAGTCTCTGGGCATCAAGAACTTGATCTTGCCTCTGCATTGTAGCTGAATATCCAGCTGCGGTGTCCTTGTGGCAGGTAGGGAAGGTTGGAGGAGAAAGGCATTAGCCTGCTGGATTTTAGGCAGCTGAATGCCGCTGCCCCTGGGAAATTCAGTAAGAAAGCCATCCCTGTCTGTGTTAGGTGCAGGGGGATGGTTTCCAGCATCTCCACCACTTCATGCTTTGCTTTAACCTCTCAGCCTGCTCTTGCCCTCTTGATGGTGTTTCATGTCTATTCTCTTTTGAAGGTTTTTTGTCAACTTTCCCTCGGCCAAGCAGTACTTCAGCCAGTTCAAGCACATGGAGGACCCTCTGGAGATGGAGAGGAGCTTGCAACTGCGTAAGCACGCTCGGCGGGTCATGGGTGCCATTAACACTGTGGTGGAGAACCTCAATGACTCGGAAAAGGTCTCCTCCGTTCTGGCCTTGGTGGGCAAGGCCCATGCCCTCAAGCACAAAGTGGAGCCCATCTACTTTAAGGTAAAGGATAGGAGCAAAAAGAAAGAAAAAATTCTCTTGGGTGCTTTTAGAAATTAGAGGTCGGACGCTGTGGTGAGCTGGTGCTGCACGTCCTTGCCTGGAAGAGATTGGCTGGTTGTGGGTGTTGAGCCCCGCTGTGACGCTGTCCCATGGGGACTGCCAGTCCCCAGCTCAGCCAAGGAGCACCAAGTACCTCTCCCTGCCCAGGGAAACCCTCCTCCCATAACCTCTCTGGCGTGGTCGTGGCCATATGTCCCTTCTTACAGCAATCAAGCGTGAAAGAAAGGACTACATAATTTGAGTTGCCGAAACTGGGGGGATGCTCACACCTGCAAGCAGCGCCCCCCTGGGCCTGAGTCTCAGCCCCCCCGCCCGGACAGGCTGGTTACCTGCCCCGGAGGGGTGACAGACCTGCCGGCCATCTGTCGGTTGTCATTCCCAGAATTCAGCTACAGGATTAAACTTGTTTTCAGAAAAAACCCCTAAACTTGCTGGTAGCAGCTTCCTGGAGAGTTATTAACCCTTTGCTGCCTGCCTCCCTCCAGAAACTCACTGGCGTCGTGCTGGAGGTCATTGCTGAAGAATACGCCAATGACTTCACCCCGGAGGCTCACAGCGCCTGGACCAAGATGAAGACCCTCATCTACACCCACGTGACGGCGGCGTACAAGGAGGTGGGCTGGGCGCAGTACCCCACCGCCACTCTGTGAGAGGCCA